AGTTTGTTGTAAAATTTGGCTTTATCTTCTTGAGCTAATCTTTGAAATTTTCTGATTCTGCTACAAATTCCCCTAGCTGTAAGCCTTCCAACCTTCTAAATATTCCTTTATATGTGGTTCGGCATTCTAGCACCATCCCGAGCCTGCTTGGCCCAGTATTCTGTGTTGTTGGTGACGTAGCTCCTCACTGCACGTCTACCCGAGCCGCCATCTTAGACTAGATATCACCTAGTATGTAGTTGTCCATTAAAAAAAAAAAAAAGATGCTGATCTATTTATAAGGAATGCAAATGGTATCAGCAGGAAAATCTTTATATGCAGTTTGTAGAAGTAAGAACCAAGAGGTGAAACCAACCAATAGTCTTCAGCAAATATTTATGGACAACTATATCACATAGTATATAGCTGCACTTCTCCCTGTTACTTCTACTTCCATGATCTTTCCTGTGCCAATCTCCCTCTTGTTACATATTGCTTTCCCCATCACCTCAGTTATCATGTGTGTACCCTCTACTCAGTGAATAATAATTTTCCCTTCCTTCCCCCCCCCTTGTAACCATCATAAAAAGCTTCTTTGAACAAAAAGCCTTTTCTTAACTTTTTACAGCAGTGGTCTCATACAATATTTGTCCTTTTGTGATTGACTAATTTCACTCAGCATAATGTCCTCCAGTTTCATCCATATTATGAGGTGTTTCACAGATTCATCATTATTCTTCATTGTTGAGTAGTATTCCATTGTGGTTTGTACTAAAGTTTGTTTAACCATTCTTCTGTTGATGGGCATTTGGGCTGCCTCCATCTTTTGGCTGTTGTCAATAGTGTGGCAGTAAACATGGGTGTACACATATCTATTTGTGTCATGGCTCTCATTTCTTGAGCATACATACCAAGTAGGTGGATTGGTGGGTCACACAGTTTTATTTCCAATTTTTGGAAGTAGTACCATATGGTATTCCACAGTGGTTGCAATATTTTACAGTCCCACCATCAGCATAGGAGGTTCCCAGTGCCTCCACACTCTTGCCAACATTTAGTGTTTTATGTTTTTTTGACCCTTGTTATCAGTGCTGGGGGAAGATGATATCTTGTTGTTGTTTTGATTTGCTTCTGTCTAATGTGTTACAAATCAGGCTGCTAACCTCAAGGTCGGCAGTTTCAAACTACCAGCTGTTCCACGAGAGAAAAATGAGGCTTTCTGCTCCTGTAAAGATTTGCAGTCTCAGAAACCCTGTGCAGGGTCACTATGAATCGGAACTGACTCCACGGTACTTAACAACAACAAAAATGGCTAACCTTGCTTGCTGAAAGTGAAGAAGACTTAAAATACTTACTGATGAAGATCAAAGAGCACAGCCTTCAGTATTGATTACATCTCAATGTAAAGAAAACAAAATTCCTCACCACTGGACCAATATATAACATTCTTATCAACAGAGAACAGATAGAAGTTGTCAAGGACTTCATTCTTCTTGGATCAACTATCAGCACTCCTGGAAGCAGCAGTCAAGAAATCAAACGACGTATTGTATTAGGCAAATCTGCTTCATAAGACCTTTTTAAAGTGTTGAAGAGCAAAGATTCAGCTTGAGGACTAAGGTGCACCTGACCCAAGCCATGGTATTTTCAATCACCTCATATGCATGTGAAAGCTGAACAATGAATAAGGAAGACCATAGAAGAACTGATGCTTTTGAATTGTGGTATTGGAGGAGAATATTGAAAGTGCCACGGGCTGCCAAATAAACCAACAAATCTGTGTTGGAAGAAGTGCAGCCAGAGTGCTCCTTGGAGGCCAGGATGGCCAAACTTTGTCTCTCATACTTGGGACATATTGTCAGGAGGGACCAGTCTCTGGAGAAGGATATCATGTTTGGTAAGGTGGAGGATCAGAGAAAAAGAGGAAGACCCCCAGTGAGAGGGATTGGCAAAATGGCAGCATCAATGGGCCCAAGTGTGGCAACAACTGTGAGGTTGGCCCAGGACTGGGCAGTGTTTCGTTCTGTTGTGCACAGGGTTGCCGTGAGTTGGTACCAACTCAATGGCACCTAACAACAACAACAACGGCTAATGATCTTTAGCATTTCTTCATGTGTGTGTATTGGCTACCTGAATGTCTTCTTTAGTTAAGTGTCTGTGTTTGTCTTCTGCCAATTTAAAAAATTGGATTATATGTCTTCTTCTTGTTGAGGAGTTGAAGCATTCCATACATTTTAGAGCGTTGTCCCTTGTTTGGTATGTCATTGCCAAATTTTTTTTTCCAGTCTGTGGATTCCATTTTTCACTCTTTCAGAAATCTTTTGATGTCTAATTCTTGGTCATCTATTTTATATTCTGCTGTTTGTGTGTTTTCACTTATGTTTGAAAGCATATTTATGCCATGTACCAGAGCCCTTAACTTTGTCCCTATTTTTCATTGGTAATATTTATAGTTCTGGAGATCACATTTCGGTTTGTAATCCATGTTGAGTTCATTTTTACATATAGTATGAGATATGGGTCTTGCTTCATTCTTCTGCAAATTTATGTCCAGTTTTTCCAGCAACATTTGTTGAAGAAACTACCTCTTGCTCATTTAATGTGTTTTGCCCTTTGTCAAAGATTAACTGGCCATAGGTAGGTAGATTCACCTCTGGATTTTCAATTCTAAACGATGTGCCATTCATTGTGCCATTCATTGTACCAGTATCAGGCTGTTTTGATTACTGTGACTAGGTAGTAGTAGGCTTTGAAATTGGTAAGTGTGAGGCCTAATACTTTTTTCTTTTTAAGTAGTGCTTTCCTTATATAGAATTTATACTGTTTTGGTGGTGGTGACTGTGTACGGTGGAGTTGGTTCTGATTCATAGTGACCCTGTACAGGGTTTCCGAGGCTATAAATCTTTATGGGAGAAGAACGCCTCATCTGTCTCCTGCGGAACAGCTGATAGTTTTGAACTGTTGACCTTGTGGGTTCACAGCCCGATTCATAACCACTGCGCTACCAGAGCTGGATCTCCATCCGAGGCTCTATCGGATAGTGATCCGGCGACCTCCAAGGGCAAATGACCAGAAGGCTACTTGGATTCGACCACTGGGAGGCACAGATGGAGCCAGGAGGTTGGCTGCATCTGGAACACGATTTTTTTTTGGACCACCACTGACCGTAAAGATAAACGCCGGTATCCGCAATCAACAAACAGCAGTCCCCAGTTCGCTGGTCCACTCTTCCTGTCTCCATTCATTCGCCTCGGCGAGCGCCGCTTCCATTTATTCATGGGCTCCAATTCTGATTCTCACCCAGACTCGGAGAGACAGTAAGCGGATCGATACTCACCAGGGCCAGAGTCTGACTTCCCAAGACCAAGGTGTTCCCAACGCTTCTCTATTCTGTGGACTCGGGCCACCCGATCCCCAACGACGCCCGGACCAGCGACCACGCGCTCCCACTCTGCCGTTGTCCCCGAGCCGCGCGCTGCAGCGGCAGGGGCTCTACTTGGGCCCAAAGTAGCTAAGCGTCGAGCTCGGACTGTCCAGGGCCCTCGTGTCTCCGAATTTTGAAGCGTGAAGGGTGAGAGCGCTTCGAGACCCACGCGCTTTCCTCGTGTCTGGATCCCAACCGTCACCTGAACACTTCGCTTTTCGCCTCCGGCGACAGACGTCTGAAGCTTCGGGAGACGACACCCTAATCTAAGTCACTGACCCCGCTTCATCGCTTCTTATGGGCAATTACCTGGGCAAGCTGGGACCCCAGCGGTCATCCCCAGCCCAGGCACGCGCCGACCTGTCTGTGAGACCTGTGAACTGCAGGTCCGCTCAGCACCTCCACCAAGTCCACCGAGTACAGCAGGTCCACCGCATCCAGCTCATCTCCCGCGCCCAGCACGTCCCGAGGCACAGACCTTCGAGGAGGCAACCAAATTGGGGGCCAAACAATTCTAGCTCGTGGAAGCTCAACGAGGCTTGGAGGCGCTTTCCCATGAAGTGGTCCCAGAATTCCATCATGGGGCCGCTACCCTCAGACTGGTGGGAAAGTTATTCAAAGAGGAATATTTGGTCTCTTCGGCATCCCAGGTTAATTCGGAGCCCTGTGACAATCAAGATCGCTCCTCCTGAACGGAGAACATCCCCTTCCACTTCCCCAGAGCAGGCAATCGACTTGGCAGGGCTACAACCCTTAGAGGAACTCCCAGATCCCTGTGTAAAGGAGAGAGTGCTGAGGGCTCTCAGAGAGAGCAAGAAAGGGAGAACGCGGTTCGAAAAACCAATACTCTCTGAGATCCCGTGTAGTAAAAGAAGCCCCAAACCCAGATTATCTGCCTTTAAGCCCCTGATGAAAAATGGAGTCTTCCCTTCCTTTGTGCCCAGACCTGGGCCTCTGAAGTTAAAATCCAAGAATGGAGTCCAGATCACAACTTGCCTAAGAAACCCAATTGCTCCTTCCTAAACCCTCTTAGCAGCGCGCACACAGTTGGGCCCCTCCACTCTAAAAGAAATGCCATTACAAGCTCTTACAGCTCTTCTGGAGAGTTTCCAGAACCATGGAAGACAAAGTGTCTCAGTGCATTATTCCAGACACCAGAGTGGCCAGTAAAAAAGAAAGAAAAGGGTCATCAGTCTAATCTGCCACCCCCACTGGTATCAGACAAGGAAACTCCAGCAGCATCTCGCAGTTCTGGGCAGCAAAATCAGAAGATTCCTCTGCTTCTGTCTATCTCTGAGAACCTGCTGTTTGGGGCTCTACCTCTCCAACCTGGTTGCTCAGTCCTCACTGAGAAAGCTGGACATCAATGGAGCAACAAGTCCAAAGAGAATAAGACACAGACCACCGTGGACTCTCACTGAGACTTGGCCTGATAGCCAGCCTTCTTTGTCTCTCACCCTGCCTTCTGCAGGGACAGCTCCAACCCTAGACACAAATCCTCAGCTGGAAAGCTTATAGAAAATGCAAAAGTCTCCAGGTCCATTGACCTTTCCACAATCTACCAGAGAAGCAGCAAGTGTGGCTCACTTGCCTCTGAAGACTCCCATCCTGCTGGCCCCAATTATGTCCTCACAGTCATCTCCTCAGACTCAAAGTCCGCAGCTACTTTCATCTTGCTGACCTCAGCTTCTACCACATCATCAGTCACTGGCATCACCAGGTCACCTCTAACCTATCAGCCTGACAGGTCTGCCATGCTTCCAGACCCATCAGCTGTCACCCTCGCAACAATCACCATGCCAAGTACTTCGTTTAAAATGATGAGTAGCCCAGCTCCCCAACTTCCTGCATCTGCACCTTTTGTCACAACTTCTGCTTCCTCTGTGTTGAAATCCATTTTTAGGCCACGTAATAGTGAAATCGGAGGTTCTATATATTCTAGAATTTCAGCCACAACCACAGTATCTTCCAGCTCTTCCCTGTCCACAACTCTAGGCATCTTAATTCCCACCTTCAAGCCTATCTTTGGCAGCATAGAATCACTGTGCCCCTGATCTCGCCTTTATCCTCCAAGCTGACTTCTCCTTCAGAAACTCATACCTCTACTTACCTATTCCATGGTCTGGTCAAGGTCACCCCTGTAGTCAAGTCTACCACCCCATCCAGCATATCCGTTTGGATTTTGGTATAGCAAATGCTATCAGTACTATGAGCAACACTTGCTCCATCCCTTTCACTTGCCACACTTTTCTTGTTGGGTCTACCTGTGCCTTCAGGTCCACTTTTCCTCAGTCACAGGCTTCATTTTATCCCCACATCACTGTCCAACCATTCCTCCTATACACACACAGCCACGATCTTTAACGAAGTCCTTTCCAGAGCTGTCCAGATATCCCCTCACAGCAGCACTGCCAAATTTAGGGGTATGGATGACTTTCTGTCAGTCTCAACCCTCGCAGCCACAAACCAGTCTGTACTGGCATCCAGGAGTTCCACCCCAACCGCAACATCCACAATTCTCTCTGGGTCAAGCTCAAGACCACCTTTCCTACTATACCAAGGAGCTACTCCCCAGTCTATATTTGGGGCGAGGGATGAGCAGAAGCAAGAAGCTTCCCAGTCAGACCTTGCCCAAAGATTTAATAGCTCTTTCATTTTTGGAGACTCAGCAGTAGCACCCCCAATCTCAACTATAATTCAATCAGTCTTCAGCAATACCATACAATCAACTTTTGTGGGTTTGACATCTTCAGCCTCCACCTTTCACACCCCTGCCACCATCTGTTCAACCTTTACCAGCACTCCAGCAGATTTTCCTTTTGATCCACCAGAATGGGGCTTCTAGCTCAATGCTTGGCATCACAGTCCCATGCCCTTTTGCCTTTGGGGGATTAGTAACTCTTATGGACTATGGGGAGTCTGGGATCAGCATGGCTGCCCCAGATATAAGTTCCACCTCTGGAGCATTTAGCATTGGAGCAGTGTCAAGTGGGACCACCAGCAGTAGCACCCTCTTTGGAAAAGACTGGAACCAGAACATCCAAGGCCTGCCCAGTCACAGAACACCTTTTGCTTTAGGAAGGACCAGCACTTCTATAACAAAGACGATGTTTGGAGGACCCACCATGGCCTCCTTTGCTCAGAGTACTCCTGTCCCTGGATGAGTTAAGGCAGGAAGCAATCTTGGTTTTAGGGTGTCCTTTCTACCTTCCCAGGGATCTGTTGGTAGAGGACTTTTTAGATCACCAGCCCCTTCCTTTTCCACTGGCACAAAATCAAAAAACCCCAAGAATCTGGAACAAGGGAATTCCTGAAGACAACATGCCCACAAGAAATAGCCTGTGCATCTTGTCACTCTCATCCTGATGTAGACCTTGTTATTGTTGTGAAAAGCCTTAGTCTCTTCAAATGTCTAAACAAACAATACCCCAGATCTAAAGATGAGGCTTTAGATGTTCACTGTGTGGATTCTTGAAGGTCTCTCTCTATAAGGCATCTAGTGGGGAGAGCAAAATGAGACTAGGATGAACCAAACCTGTTGAACTTGAACAGAATCTTGTCTTCCTCACCATAAACACTCCTTTCTTTGTTGAGTATGACTTAGAACACTGCTTCTGACCTTTTCCCTGAGAACAGACATACCAGGAAGGCAGCAAATACTACCCATCTCCTCATGCATCTTTAGGAGGAGTAATGAATGCTCCCTAAATCTTAGCCTACTCTTTTACCTGGTTTTAAGAAGTGCTCCTAGAGATCCTGATACTTCATTTTTTGCTTTTTTGTTCTTAATGGGTTCTTGGAGAAATTTTTGCTGTAATTTGACCTTTACTCCAGGTTTTCTTTGAGAATTAATCATCAACCCTTGAGGGCACCTGTGTGTGCTGCTTTTGCTGTACCACTTTCTCCCCATTTAATGTTTTCCCAAGAGAGAGAATGTTCCAGTTCCATTCTTTGTTCTGTATATTTAGCCCCTAAAAGCTTGCTGAGTCAAGATTTAATTTATCAGACCCTAGAGGTCACACGTCATTTCAATAAAGAGAAGACTTTAGACAAATTCCTTCCAGTATTGGAGCAGGCAGGTTGACTTTTCCTGTTTTCTCTTCTTGTCACCTTTCCCATTTGTCTCTTGAACACAAACTCTGGAGTTAAACCCAAGTGGTTTCAGAGTCTATGATAATTTCTCCCTCAACATATTTGTTGCCGTTGTGTGCCACGGAGTAGGTTCCAACTCATGGAGATCCTTTCCGAGGTTGTAAATCTCTGTCTGATACTAATGTATATTTTGTGTTTTCAATTGAGTTTGGAAGATTGTAGGAGTAGTGCTCTGTTGGTAGAGCCAGATAAAAGTGTATAAATAAATGTTCCTGGATCCTGGATAATTGCACCAAGCAAGCAGTGCCACTTACTGGCTGTAAGTTCTGCTTTCTGAATTTACAACAGTATTTTTACTTTACGGAATGGCGTTTCGGGAAGTAGAGTCAAGGAAGGGGAATATGGGTTGATAAAATTTTGCTGCTACTCCCTACGCAATAAGGTCATCATCCCTCTAGTAAAAACTAGAAATGCTAAATTAAGGTAACAAATCTTAAATTACATTTTTTCTTTTAACTCAGGCCTCATGAAATCACCCCTCCCAAGTCACGCCTCTCCCAGAGAGGGCAAGAAGCCTTCTGGGCCTGAGAACAAAGGGAAGACAGATTGGAACCCAATACATACCCAAGCTGACCACTGCTCTGTAACTACTGGTAGGTCTACAACTAGCCTGTGACCTTAAGTATTTCTTTTATTCCTTAGCATTTCTATTAGCCTGCTGGTAAAAAAGAAAGAAAGGAAGGGAAAGGAAAAGGAAGCAAGAATAAATCCCTGGGTACATCTATCTCCTATTTTATGGGTGCTTTGTTGTTGTTAAGTGCTGTCAGGTCAGTCTCAACTCATAGCGACCCTGTATAGGGTATCTGAGACTGTAAATCTTTGTGGGAGCAGAAAGCTTCATCTTTCTCCCACAGAAAGGCTGGTGGGCTCGAGGAGACCCAATTGGAAAAATAAGCAATATTTAATAGGTTGGTAGGCTAAAAAGAAATTGCTGAAATATAGAAATTACTGTTAAATTCAGGAATGAGATCCAAATGGTTTCAGAACTTATGGTCATTTCTTCCTCACTATATGTTGTTGTTGTTGTTGTTAAGTGCCAGAGAGTCGATTCCAACCTTGTGGTTCAAAATAACTTTACAGTCCAACACATTAACCCACAGAACTACACCAGAACTCCTCCCTCACTATACAACGGGGTTGATATATATTTGTTGTTGTGTGACATGGAGTCAGTTCCAACTCACTGTTGTTGTTAAGTGCCAACCCATAGTGACCCTGTATAGAGTTTCCAAGAGTGACTAGTGAGCTTGAACCACTGACCTTCTGGTTCAAACCGACTTTGCAGTCCAACACATTTGCCCACAGTGTCACACCAGGACTCCATGTTGTTGTTATTGTTGTTAACTGCCGTCAAGTTGGTTCTGACCCATAGAAACCCTGTCTAGGGTTTCCAAGGAGCAGCTAGTGAGCTTGAACCGCCGACCTTGCAGTTCAAATGGTTTTGCAGTCTGGCACATTAATCTTCAGCGCCACACCAGGGCTCCCCAGGACTCTATAGCAATCTTTAACAGGATTTCCAAGGTTGTAAATCTTTTTGGGAGCAGAAAGCCTCAGCCCAATACACCACTGTGCTCTTTCTATGTATCTGTCTAGTGAATTACCAAAATTAGAATTTTAACCTTCTCTCTGACTTTAAATATCCAGGCTTGTGTCAAACTAAAACCAAACCCACTGTCACTGAGTCGATCACAGACTCTGTCTGTATAGGATTTTTGAAACTATAAATATTTACAGGAGCAGAAAGCTTCATCTTTCTCCTGAGGAGTGGCTGGTGGGCTTGAACAGTAGACTTTACAGTTAGTCGTCCCATGCTTATCCTACAGAGCTGTATATATATATATATTCTTCACTGGTTTTCCTTCTCCAGAGAACCCAGATGAAGACATTTGGTAATGGGAGTGTTTCAGAGAAACAAAACTGCAAGGATGGGCTCTTTATTTTCTTGATATAAACCTCTCTCTGAGGAAATGGCTCATACAGTTGTAGAGACGGGCAGGTCCCAAGTCATGGGTCAGATGTCAGGCTGAAGGTTTTTGACTCATGTAGTTGCAGGGCTGATGAACCCATCAGCAGGTCAGGCAAGTCTGGCAGATAACAAGGCTTGATGACTCCCAGGATGGGCAGGTAATAGAACAGGCCACTGACTCAAGTTCAATGAATTGGAGATTGGAGGACAAGCCAGATGTAAGATCCAGACCCAGCAGAGAATGTCCAAACTAAGAGAGTTTGGAGGGTGATCTTCTTCCAGTCAAGCCTCCAGGTAAGAACTCAGCCCAGTAGACACCTTGATTTACATTCTTGTGAGAACATGAAAAAAGGATTCAGTTAATACATGCTGAATGAAAGGAGTCCTGGTATGGCTCTGCACTGTAGGATAAGCACTGGACCAAAACAAGGTCAGTTTGTACCTCAAAGTCAGTGCTTCATACTCAACAGCCACTACTCAGAAACCCTATACAGGGTTGCTGTGAGGCAGAACTGACTTGATAACAACAATATACATACAATATACATACTCCTGACCCAAAGAAACAATGAGATGATAAATGTATGTTGCTGTAAGTCCCAAAGTTTGTACTAATTTGCTATATAGTATGGAAAACTATACACTCATAAAGTTTACAGTGTAGAGGCAAAATGGAGTTAAATAAACAATTGTTGCAGTAGAAACTGGCTTAAATCAAACACACATGCAAATTCTCTGCAGATTCCTGAATATATATGATTCTTGTTGTCACTGAGTTTTGAATCAGTTGTCATTAGTTTTGGAGCGGTTTGTTGTGTTGTGTTTTTGTGGCAATAGTTAACTATTATAGGGTGATTTGGTAGAAGTGGTTCTCATGTTGCTCTGAGACGAAGAGAGGAATCCTGGATAAAACAAGTTTTCTGGTTAGAACAATGCATGTGTGGACTTTGTAGTCAGGACTATAGAAAAATTTGAGTATCATCATCATCATCACTATATACTGGTGGTGGTAGTGTGCCATGGAGTTGGTTCATAGTGACCCTGTGGTTTCTGAGGCTGTAAATCTTTATGGGAGCAGAAAGCCTCATCTTTCTCCTGCAGAATGGCTGGTAGTTTTGAACTGCATACCTTGAGGTTAGCAGGCTGACTCATAACCACTATGCTACCAGAGCTCCTTATCAATATATATTAGCATTTTGGAATCTTGGAAAGAGATAATTATGATCCTGTGGGACAAAGCAAGAGGGCTGAAGAAATCGTTTTATATTATCAGAAAGTTAGTGTATTCTTCAAGTGTGGTCAGTAGCTAAGCACTAGAAAAAATAATATTGCTTCATCTCATACACTTGACAAAAATTCTAGATGGAATCAAATATCAGAATAATAAGAAATAATAGTATAAAACAAGTCAGAAGAAAAATATAGATTATGTTTAGGATAAGGAAGGCCTTCTTACAACCAAAACAAAAATAAATTACTCATAAATCAGACTAAATAAAAATTAAGAGCCTTTGGTGCAAAAGTACCATTTGTTGTTGTTATTAGGTACCATTGAGTTGGTACTGACTCATAGCGACCTTATATGCACAGCAGAATGAAACAATGCCCGATCCTGGGCCAGCCTCACTACTGTTGCCACGCTTGAGCCCATCAATGCTGCCACTTGGCCAATCCATCTCA